AGGTGATGATTCCTTTCAATCTATATCTCAGTGTATGACCTTCTCCTTTCTCTAATCTGTTATCCTCTATCTAATTTCGACGTCTTCTATTATTCTTGAGAAGATTATGCTACGAGCAGAGGTTGAGGTGATGATTGTTATTGTTATCTTATTTTGTTCCGGAGAGCATTTGGCCTCTTAATATTTTTTTACAATAAAATTTCCATTCGTTGCCCTTGTCTGTGTCTAAAGTTTTTGCTTTGATATTTTCTCAGATTATTAGCTTGGACTTTTTTAGTCCGGTGTCTATATCTATTTGAAGAAATTAGTTCCATTAAATATGTTTTCAAGTCTTTTTTTTTGTTTTTAATAATGAATATAACTTTATTAACATTATGTCACAAAATACAAATGCAAATGAAAAGATGGTGTGAGTGGGTTTGGTTGGACAGAGTTTCCATTCAGCATGTTTTGTTGCTTAGAATTAATAAGTTGTGCATAGTAGTATCATTGGATGGCGCATCTAAGCAGAATTTGAGTTGTGGATATTATTGGGTTTGCTTGATTGTGATGGTCTCGTTTTGCACATGGCATTAGAATGAAATGGCTTGGGGTTTTCATGCTTTATTTGTTTCTTTTTAACTGCAAGTATGCAGATGTTTAATTATCAAAGCTTGTGATGTAATAGTGAATGTGCTTCCTTGATAGAGACCTCAACCAAAATGGTAAAATTGGCGTGTATATTAGAGAAAGAAGATAACGAAAGCCGAAAGGAAAGAAATACAGTCGAGACACTTCGAGCAGTCCCCTCTCCCAAGTCTAATTCCAATTTCTGCCTACCTTCTTCTTACTCCCTCCCTTCTATTTATACCCTTACTTATGGGCCAGCCCAAAGTTAACTAGTACTTGGCCCAGGACCTGTAATATACTATCACGATTATTTAATATTATTATAATATTCTTATTATTATTTTCTTCAGCCTAGAATCCTATCATATCTCCCCCCTTGAACAACCACCTTGTCCTCAAGGTGGGTGATAGGAAACAACGTTGACCCTCCGGTTCATCTTCATCTTTGCGCCTCTACCTTCCCAGTATCTTTCCAATTGACATATGTTTCTGCAGCATAGGATCTATCTGGTGAAGTTTCATTTTCTTCATTAACCTTCAAGCCTTCAATAGCCACAAAATTTTCCTTGCTTTCTTGAGGCTCCTCCGAGGTTCTCTCTTGTGAAACTATCAGTGTGCTGGGTGCAAGTTTGATGTAGCTCAACTCAAGGTCTGCAAACAACCCCATGCAAACTTCTCCAATTACCATCCACTTTTCTGTATGGCAGTTTTGGTCACTGTCCAAGTGTGTTTCCAACACATAAACCCCATAACGGACTCTTTCCCACAATTCATTGGCATAGGCCCCCTTATACCCTTGAGCCTCCAAACTAAGATGCCTTTACTTCTTAGAAACCAAGCTCTCCCTTCCACTGTAGTTCCCCATGAGTCACTGATACATGGGACACCAGGACCCCATACACATGAATCATAGTTTTATATGGAAGGGGTCCGGATCTTGCTTCATATGGTTTATATAGAGTCTCATATAAGGTTGTCTTCCCCTGTTGTGCTTTGACTGGAGTTGTCTCTGGCTTGTCCAGTTGGAACCCTTTGAGTATTGGAATACTCATTGGGATTGGTTTCTCATGCCAATGTATGCTGAAATTTTCATCAGGCAAGACGAAAACTGAGATTTTGGGAGGTGAAACCAACAATTTAAAAATGTCAACAAGTTTATGCATCTGCTGATCAAGCACAACCACATGTTTTCCTCTCCCCTGTGTCAACCTTAATAGTATTTCTGGAGTACAGCTTAATTCATGGAACAATTTGGAATCATTAAGGTGAGACTCCCAGGAGCTATCCAAAGTGCCAGTGAAGTATAAAATCCCAGCATTTTCTTTTATGTGCCTATCACTTGCTCATTTAACTGACCTAGCAATTGTAAGATTGCACCATGAACAGGACCCCAATCGCTAAAGCTTGGGGCATCACAAGAAACCTTTCCTAAAGTCCAGACAGCCTGCTCATGAACCTCATCAATTGGAGGGCTGCGTTCAATCGTCAACAACTTTCTTAATGGTGTCGTTGCTTGATAATCATATTGTTGGGGTTTAGAATAAAGTGTAGTGTCCAATTTAGAGCTGTTCACATCTTCTTAACCATCTGAATAGACTCTCTCTAAAACCCGTAGATCAGCAAAGAATATAGTAGGTTTCTGCTCCCCAATGTCTTCAATTAATAGCTTGATATCCCCATGCCAAAATCCTATTGATGCCCCATCGCTGATGAAACATACTTCAATCAATCGATCAAAAATATGAGCCAGAGGGAGATAGAAACTGTATCCATCATTCAATGAAAGCAATTCATTCATACTCTCTAGTAAACCCTTTACCTCAGCCGGTTACATAGGTCGATCAAACTCATTTGGGCCTCACCATCCTCTTGACTATCCGCGTTCGAGTCTTAGCAAAAGTCAGTTCCAATTTCTCCAATCGCTGCTCCATTTAATGATCCGATTCAGTCTGTGTCTCCAGGAGCGTGAGTTCTCTGATACCAATGATAGAGACCTCAACCAAAACGGTAAAATTGGCGTGTATATTAGAGAAAGAAGATAACGGAAGGAAAAAAATACAGGCGAGACACTTCGAGCAGTCTCCTCTCCCAAGTCCAATTCCAATTTCTGCCTACCTTCTTACTCCCTCCCTTCTATTTATACCCTTACTTATGGGCCAGCCCAAAGTTAACTAGTACCTGGCCCAGGACCTGTAATATACTATCACAATTATTTAATATTATTATAATATTCTTATTATTATTTTCTTCAGTCTAGAATCCTATCATTCCTTTTATTTATGATGACACTTCTATTTATTTATGGTGCATTTAGAGCTTTATTTTGAACAACAACATTTTGGTTGCCTTTCTCTTCTTTTATTTTTCCCTTCCGGAAATAACAGAACACATATAACAGGGCAGTGAATACAAAGATCAACGCTCGTGACCGGATATAGAATAGGCTTTGGTTCATTGGGATCTTTCTTACTTTTTAGCTGTCACACTGATTTGCCGCTGGTGAGTCTTCCATGGATTTTCCATTTGGTTTTGAAAGTTGAGTTCTTATGGTCAGCAATTGTTGTGAAAATCAGTCAAGGCTACGCCCTGAGGTGAGCCTCATGAAAAAAGCCTCAAGGTTTAAATCTTTCTGAGAAGATATGAGGCTTATGCCCTGAATGTGTGACTAGTACGTCGCAAAGCATATGCCCTGATGCTCACTTAGACTTTTTCCTCTTGAAAACTAGTCATGTTGACATAGTTAAATTTATGGGTTGATTTTTTATATTGACTTCACACTCTTACTAGTTGTCCCACCCATGCGTTGCACGGGAATACATTCTGTGCAACACCCACACACCCATTAAAGCATCTATATTTTTTCCTTTAAAAGCACTGATAAGTTCAAGAATGTAAAGAAATAACAAAGATGCAACAGCTCCCGCCCACCACAGAAAAACATAAGAAAAAGTGCATTTCCCGTTTCATGCTTTTCTCATTCAAGTTTCATAATGATCATCTACCTATCATCACAACCCTTTTGGGGTAATTACTACTCACAAAGTCACAAGCAATTATCCTTGGTTATATTTTTTAGTTTGTTTCTTACTAGATTCGCACCCGCGCGAGGCGCGGGATGCTAAAATGTAATAGCAATATGATTTTTTTTTGTAAATATTACCTGGTCGTGTGAAATGAATGCAAATTGTCATAGATGTAACATGCATAATAAATTATAAGCAAAGATTGGATAGTGATAACTCAGAGATAAGTAGTAACTTTGTTTTGGAATGAGTAGAAAAAACGAAATGTGATCAAAGAGCATGTCTCGTTATCTTCACCGGAGATCAATATCTGCAGTGCGACGATAACCTACACATTGCGAAAAACTTCCTTATGATTTCTTAACATTATTAGTTAGTACGTAGATGATTGTCTGAAGAGCATAGATGTAATACATGTAAAAAAATGAATGAAAAGATAGTTACGTCTCATAATTGGTACGAAGTATGTTTTGGAATAAAAAGGAATAAATAAATATAATAATAATAATGTTTCCACAACATACACATTTTGAAACGTATTCCTGTAAACAACATTGGTAGTATGCTCGATTTGTTCATCATCTCCATCTTAAATTTCATTTATCAATTAATCTTACTTTTAATCATATTCAGAAATTTTTCTCTAAATGATACAGAGTATTATAGTAAAAATATTAATAAATAATATCCTAATAATATTCAACCAAAAAAATAATCATAATAATATTATAATTATAACAACAATAACAATAACCATAACTTTAATAATCAGAAACATTATATTGTTTTTACTTGGACTTATTTCAGCCTCAATCCATACCAGATCAGTTCAGACCAAACTTCAATAGTTATAGAATACACAAAGACTATACATTTACTACACCAAGTCAGCTCGGACAAAAAAAAATTAGTAGAAATAGAAAAACCTAATACTACCTCCATCCCATTAGAAGGTTCCCGTCTACTATTCCCATGGTCAACTTAAATCATTTTTAATCCTTTACTTTATAAATCAAATTTTTATCAAATTTTCATTTTTTTTATCAGGCTTTGTAGCAGTTTTAATGTAGTTTCTAAATATGCTAGTTTTATTTACTAAAAATAATTAGAGTGTGAGCAGAGATTAAGTTGCTTTATCGTCAGTCAAGCATCGTAAACCGTCACAGGAACCTTCTAGCGGGACGGAGGGAGTAATATAATAACAATCATAGAAAGATATCAATAATAATCACATTAAAAAAAATTATAATCAAACAATATAATTATAATCCTAATTAAATATTAAATATATTTAACAAAGTCCAATTCAAATCTGAAATTAAAATACCAATATTTTAATAGTTGAAATCAGCCCAGCCCAGTACTGTATCTTAAATCTAACCCAGTTCAGCAACTTAAACCTAACATGCCCTATCCAAACTTACTCCCTCCTTCGGCCGCCACATTCATCCGTACATCGAGCACCTCGCAAGCCATCGTTCTTCCGCTGACCATCGTCCGTGCGCTATTCCGGCTGAGGTAAAACCAAAGAATCTCAAACCACGTCTACCATCGTTTCGTGATTTTGGTTTATCCCCTGCATCCTCGTCGTCTTATTGTGATTTTATTGAACGGTTAGGTAATTGAATTTCTTTATCAGTTTTTCCATCCATACACTCGTTATTGTGATTATTCACATGTATAGTTGCATATGATTTGGCCATAAATTGCATGTTTAACAGATTTATATTGTATCTGTATTTTATAGCAACAAAATACCTCTTTCATAGATTCATTTACATGGCTAAACCTACGCCAATTTGTGAAAATGATGTATACATATTTGTGTTTTTAAATGCCAACATTTGTGAAATTCTGGATTTAACCTAGCCGCTATTGATTTGTGATATAGGATGTCTTCGTTTAAATCCTAGATAAAACATAACATTGTATTTTGGATACATCTATGCAGATTTTTTTAATTGGTTAAATTGGCCTGTGATGCGTGAAATATATAACTATTACACATTTTTCAAGCGGATTAACTTAAAACTTACTTCCTCCACAGTTTTTGTTAGTAAATATATATTTTTAAAAGGTCACTTTAACAGTTTATTTAAGAAAAAAAGCATTAAATTGAACTGTCCAAAAGTTTGTAAATTGATATTTAAATGACCAATTGACATTTAAATTTCCAAAAGTTTGACAACCAAAAGTTTATATACCAAAAGTTTTTACTTAAAATAATATAAGTTGAAAACAACATTTAACTTTCTAGATTAGAGCAATAGCTTGTAAATTGAACTGCCTAAACTACTTAAAGCATAATACCAAAGCTTTTATTCAAGAAATGTGTGAAACCTTGTACTTTATTGAAAACTTGTGAGTCTGCTCTTGAAACCTTTGGTTATTGCTAAGTATAGACGAACCTTATTAAAACAACATGAAGTTCTATTTGCATAATTTTCGAAGATTTTTAAGCATATATTATAGTAGTACCTCTTAATCTTTGAAAATAGCTTCTAGTGTATCCGCTCTCCTAAAATGTGGTTGAACTTCAAAGACACGTACAACTCCCACTTTTAATTCAAAAGCAATGTTGCTCAGGATGCCTAACTGATTAAGTTGTATGTATATATACTACAAATTTGAACTGCTCTGAATATCAATGTTCATTTACCCTCTTATGTTAAAGTTCAGTTCGGTAGTACCTACATACTATACTATCGTATAATATAATGTGTATTTTATTTAAATGGCTTGAACACATGGACACTTTCTAGTTTCTATGAAAACAATTTAACTATGACTTCAATACCTATTTTTGTAAAACTGATTAATCATGTTTTCTTGAGACTGTAATTTGTTCATGTTAAATTGAAGTGCTTCAATATTTGAAATCATATTTAGGAAGCCTAAATTCAATCTGTATTCCCTCTCCTGAACTAATTATAATCAATCCTTATGATTAGATTGAAGCACTTCATTGGAAGCCTAAAAATGACTCTAATTATAATCAATATACCTTCTAATTCAATCTGTATCCCCTCTCCTGAACTAATCATAATCAGTTAGGCATCTCTTATGTTTTACTATAATCATAGGAAGCCTAAAATGAGATGCATTGGACCTGAGTAAGGTACCCAAATGTGTATTATTCATAAATGAAATGCAATTATTAATTAGTTAAGATTAGGGATTGCAGTTATATTCTATTGCATGCTCAAATTCTCGGGTATGATCTTCATCCCCTAAATTTTTAAGTCACACTTTTTGCTTTTAACTACAATCAAAGGCATATTGTTTACAAAATAAACTGTCCACTGTTCAATGTTTAAACTAAGTCTTTCAATTTCTTTTAATAAGCAATCTAATGTTAACTGAATCTGTTTTTCTTTCTTTTTGGTAAAAAGTAAATCTATTTTTCAAAACATGCCTTATCTGACTTTAAAACAACATGTCCTATGTACCTTAATGTGTTTATTATTAATGATTGGACATTCAAGTATGGTTGTTGATCTGCTACACTCAAAATATTTGTTTTGAAACCCTAGTGATATATACAACTATATACCAAAACAGACTTAATTTTACCTTTCAGGTTACCTTTTGTTGTTGGCATTGTTTCTGGGTGTTTGAGAAACACACTTTCCCAGAATTGTGCCAATGATATCTGTGTTTATCAGACTGTTAGAAAGAATAGGAAACCTGAGATAAACACTACTAAACAAAAATGAATTTCTATTAGCATAATTTTTTGTAAGAGTTTAAATCATATGATTTACCTTGTCATCATTGGATACTACTTCTAATCAAAGATGAACTCCTAAAATTACATGAAATCTTATTCACATAATTTTCAGAAAAAGTTTTAAGCACTCCACATATCTTTTCATCATACCAAATAATTGTAATGTATCCCCTCTCCTGAAATGTAGTCAAACCTCAAAGACCCATGCAACTCTCACTTTCAATGTCAATGTTATAATGTGTTGTTCTGGATGTCTAACTGATTATGTTGGCCGTATATATCTACTATACAAATTTGAACTACTCTCAATATGTATGATAAATTACCCAATGGGCAATAGCATGCAATTTCTTTTAATTTGAATAAACATCTCCCGGTGCCCAATAAATTTGTACTTGAGAATCTGAATAAAGTAGATTTGCCTTGTTATAGGCAACCAACTTTAATTAGAACAGCTCAAAGGCAGTAACTATGATTATACAAAGGACAATAAATGTGTGATATCCGGATAATAGGTGTGTATTACATGCCCCTGCAACAGCATGCATTCATCATTAATTTTGCATTAAATCAATTGTACTTTTTATCGAGCCTCACACCTTGCTTTCTTGATATTGGGTATTACATTAAATGCAGTACTATTTTGGGCCTCAAAACCTTGAAAAACTTAGAAACCTGACCTGACCGACTGCAGACCCAACCCGACCCATGAGTTTGATGTTTTTGAGCGGGAACACTATTCACAGATTACTGTTCATGGTTACTGTAGACATTTTCCTCCTGCTTTTGTATAATAGAAGATATAGAAAATGTATATATGTTCTGGAGCCTTAATAAGGTTACCAATCATGTAAAATTTATTAGGAAAATGTAACTATTTGTATTATTTATAAGGAAAATTAAATTATTAATTAGATTGAAATAGGATATGCAGGTTCTGAATTTGTGCAGCTTCCAAAACAGGTATGAATCTCATTAAGATATCATTTTATTAGTTTCAGTAACACTTATTTACTGCATTTATGTTTTTTTGGCAAATCATCTTACACCAAAAGTTAAATGTTAAATATAATTTGATAGCACATGTGATACTTTTGATCATATGGAATAAATATATCTCATTCGTGAAATATTATACATACATATATATACGTATTACGCTTGATGAAGTAATTTATAAAACCTTAGTTTCAAATAATCCTTCTGTTTTGGATGCTTGTTGTGGCAATCCTAGTTTTTCTTGGATTTTTTGGAAAATAGATAACCTGCACAAAAAAAATTCCAATTACTAATTAACAGGTCATTTGAACAAATGTTGTTGCTTGAATCTTTCAATGATAATAAACACTTGTATTAGAAAATCTTTTAACGTTTGGTATACAAAACCGTCTAAACACTTCAAATATGAATTGCTTTTGTGCCCATAATGTACATGTACACTCACACACACACATTATACATGTTCTTGTTTTTTGACCTTCATTCCACCTTGTGACATTTTCTCAGGAGCAAAATACCTACCTGTAAATATATTTCAATATACATAGTAACTGTTAACCTTATACATAGTAGTCGATGGCGCAATATGGCGTGCGCGCCATGCGCCATGTGGCGCGAAAAACCCTCTGCGCTATGAAAAGGGGCTGTGGCGAGGTGTATACACATGGCGTCGCCATTCCTGCGCCTTCGCCATTCCTACGCCTTCGCCATGGTGATGCGAATGTTTTTTTGACAAAATGGGTCCGCGCAAGGTTGTCAAGATCGCAGCTTGGATCGGAAATTGCAGCCAGATCGCCGGATCGACGAGTTCACTCGTTAGATCGCGGAATCGTCGATCTCCTTCGATCTGCGTCGTTCGTGTCTGTAGGGAAAGAATACGACGCACAGAGTCGGAATTCCGAAACGAGGCTATGGTCGGAAATCGGAAATGACGTAGACTGAAAGAAGCGACTCAAGTTTTAAAAAAAAATAATGACCTGCGAAGATCCAACTCCCCAAGGCGACGCCTTCTTCAGTGTCGCAGTGTGGCCTTCTTCATTCGTATTCTTTAACGCTTGTTTTGTTCTTCTTAGAAAACGTTTTTTTCCTTTCTCCGTTGCATCTCTCCATTACATCTTCTAGGACTTAAGATTTTTATTTACAAGCTGATTTTTTCAATCCTTTTTCCATATTTGTATTTTTTTTTGCGGATTATTTTATACCATTGAAAAATGACATTATGATTAATATTTGAAATTTTTTAAGTTTAGATATATATCTACACATATATATATAAATATGTATCTAAATACATACATACATACATATATATGATAGTTTTGTTTCTATGATAGTTTTGCAGTATCTATTATTCGTTTTGAAGGTTTTTTTTTTTTTGTCACGTGGCGACGCCATATTTGCGCCATCGCCATCGCCATGGAAAATGGCCTGTGCGCCATGGGTTGCGCCATGCGCCATGACAACTATGACCTTATATTAATACTATTAGTGTGTACATTGAACTTTTTTTTGCATAGTTCCTTGAAAAAGTTATAAGGAGATATGTTATACCTCTTCATCATAAAAAACGTCTTGCTGTATTATTGGCTGCCATCCATTGCTAGTCTTGAGATGTAATGAAATGCTGAACTCTGAAGGTATTTATAGAACAGTAAATGTTCTTTAGCAATGTGAGTAATTTACCCAATGGTTAATGCACGTTGTATTTTGAGTACGAATGGCTGGAAATCTAATTCAAAGGATTGCTTTCGGGCAACATCAAATCAATAGTACAAATTCATTTAATGTTCTTTTCCATGAAACATTATAAAACTGGTGTCTAGGTTGTAGGATAAAAGATTTGTTCGGCTCACCTCTGATCAAAAGTAGAACACATTAAATGCTTTTTTAAAAGAGGCATGAAAAAATGTGACATTTCAGAGCAATGGAAAAGCAACTAACCCTAACAATTTAATAAGGACAATTTATTCGTACAACTCATTTGGTACTGCGTATTACACCTTGGATAACAATATAAAGCATTGGATTTTAAGCTAGCATTAACTGCATCTCGTTTTGGCCATAGATCTGCCCCAAATGCTTGGACCCAAATAAGACCCGACACAAACTTCATTGGATATTGCGTCTTGTCCTTTTTTATTATTATTGCAGCTCTGTTCTTATGACCCCTTGAGCCAACTTGTCACTTCTTTGCAAAAGTGGTTGAGCCAACTTTTCAGACCCGTTTGACTCATACTTGTGACCCGTATTTGACCCATATTTTGACCTGGTTTTGGGCGGGAACACTGTTCATATTTCATTTTGCTTTTGTATAATAGAAGATATTTTGTCAAATTCTAGACTTTGATATATTCTCTTGTCTTTCTGTTTCAAAAGTTCAGGAAAGAAAGTTAATGGATATAATATTTTCAGTGAAACTTTTTATAAATAGGAATAGTAGTTCATGTTTTCATACATGTTGTCATGTTTGTTTAGTAGGGAGGGATTTGATGAGTAAATGGCATAAATGAGACACGTCATTTATACCAAGGGGGGTATGAACAGATAATGCCCAAACATGTCTCAACTCTCAAGAAGACATAAAGAAGCCCCCCTCTTTGTCTCTCCCCCACGGAGACCTTTAAACTTCATAGTTATGCTTTAAGACTTGAAAACCATTAATTGGATTCATCTAAGTGTTTTTTAGTTTAAATTATGATATGATTTCCTATCTATATTGCATTTGTTGTATTTCTGTGACACTTTCTTAAATTTGTCATGGAATTGAGGCTTATGCCTCTCAAGGCTTACGCCTTACCTCTCCCTCGCCATGGAAAACCACCTCAGGTACCCCCCTCGATTTTCAAAACAATGGGGTCAGCGCTAAATATCTTTCTCAACTAAATTAGAGGTGTGCTGATTGATGCAAATTAATTTTTTCTTTTTAGTTTAAAAAACACAACATCCAGACCTTTGAATTTTTAATTTCATTTCTCTATTGAAATTGTGAATCTGCTTGGCAGTCAGGGCAGGAATGCATCCACACCAAGAATATACCACCAGCACTGTATATCTCTTCTTGTCGTACAGTAACAATGTACGTCATGATGAAGGTTACTCTCTGCATGCCATTGATATTTGTGTGTCTGATGAACAAGGTTTGGTGGTTGAATCTCCACGCTTACTTGTGCGACTTCCTCTCCAAAATCGACCGGGCATGGTATGTGCTAAATTAGGCTCCAAGTTTTACTTCCTCGGAGGTGAGAAACGTGACGTTCTGGTAGGTGACAACCGTCCATCAGACGTGTTTGTGTATGACCCCACCAACACATCCATGAATGCAAAAGATTCTGCTTATAGAGTGGTTGGTGGTGTATCAATGAATTATGGAAAAGCGGATCCTACCACATTTGAAGTGAACGGAAAGTTATATGTGCTTGGGTGTCGCTACACCAAAAACGTTGATGAACACTCCCTCTTTGAGGAATACGACCCTGTGAAAAATGGCTGGACCAACTTGGAAGTTACTCCTGCTAGAGGTGATGAAATATATGACTGTCTTTCCAGTTTTGTTGTCAGTCCATGTAGAGTTCTTATTTCAGCTGCTTTTGGATTTGTGTGGTCTCAATGGGTTATCTTGATATTCAATCCTCAAACTTATGAGTGGACAAATACTATTAACACAGATACCAAATTTGATCCTTGTTTTTTTGTGGAGGATAGTTTTTATGGACGTGAAGGCATTTATGGACTATTCAAATTAGGTCCTTTCACGTTTAGTGAGGATTATCAGCTCTTCCATGTTCGAAAAGCATCTTCTATAGATTGGGGAGATACTTCGCCCATATCGTGGCCATTCTTCTGTTTCCCTCCACCACTTATTTGTCATCTATATGATAGGTGCTTTTGTGTCATCATAGAATCAGATGTTTTGTTGGTGAATGGAGCTCCACCACATCCCAATCCCCGCTGTCTGGAAATCATTATATATAAGGAGCTCCAGGGAGATCAAACATGTTTTAAGCTTCAATTCCTGCACCATTCCTTCATCCAAATGGATACAGCCTTCAACTGCATCAGTATACTCGAGAGTTGCCATGTTGTGAGCTCTGTAAGTATTTAAACATTTGGTTATCATGCTCCGTTCACCTAGTTGGCCAATCCGTAGTGTGGTCCTTAGGATTGATTTTAACTTTATTTACTATCGCATTTTCCCTTGTTAAAGGGAGGGAAGAACAAGCGGATCTTGGTCGGTGACAAGAATGTTGAATCTAACTTGGTAAATTTTTTTCTTTCCTTTGCCACGGCAAAATATTTTCCTCCTTTCTTTATGGTTATAGAATGGAAAAGGATATTTATTTATCTAGTTTTAAAAGTGGTTTGTAATACATATTTGTTTGTACATATAAATTTTAGGTTTGGGTTAACTGGGAATTGTTTAGCCTGATGAGGAATATATTATTAATTTTCTTTCTTTACTGTTTAGATTTACATCATTTCTTGTCATTGCAGGAATATGAGAACAAGGTTGATGACAAGAAAATTGGAACTAATCTGTAAGATTTGTTGTTTTCCCTCTCACATGGCATATGGTCATTTTTTTTCTCCCCTTTACAAGAGTGGAAAAAGAAGATGCTTATATTAATATTGTTTAAGTTTAGTTTTAAAATTAATCTGAAGTCTTGTTGAAACATACGTAGCCTTTATGTGACCTCTCCAAGCCTTGCTAATGGTATACCGTATGGTTTAAACACACTTATTATTGATCGATTGATATATTCGTTTTTCTTTCACTCGCCTTTTTTCAGGTGCTGAATCAACAAGTTGGGTAAAAGGATTTCCAAGCAAGGAATGTTATGATATTTTGGAGTTATTATCTTGCTATGTAATATTAAATCATAGATTTAAATTACGATATTTGTTTTATTTGAAATGGATTCATACGAGTTATTATGAAATGTAATATTAAATCATAAATCATAGAGTTATTTTGAAATGGTGTGAAACAGATTGCACACCTAGGGATGAGACAGTTATTTCTCATGTATCAAGTATCAACACATAAATTAGACTTTTTTTATGGTCACATTACATAAAGTAGACTTAATAATGAAATTTTACATATTTACAAACTATATAAATAGTTTTATTACGACACCAAAAATTGAAAATATATGATACAAGGATGACGGAGGGTGATGTGGACGTGTTACTAGAGATGGATCCGATCCGGTTCTGGTTCCGGGTCGGGCCCGGACGGGCTTTTTTCTTGGAAACTTGAGCCAGGAATCGGCCTGGGTTGATACCGAGTCTGATCTGTGTCGGGCGTACCCGGCTGAGTAGTGGGTCGGTTCAGATCGGGCCCGCTCTATTTTTTTTGGTTTGAATATTAAATTAAGATTACTTGGACATAAAAAATAAAATATATTTATTTGAAATATGTAGTACAATTGAAAATTGAGCAAATATTAAAACATGAAGTACATTTTTTAAACAAATAAGAATCAATCGGAATTTTCGTCATGTTCGGTTGTTTCTTCCATAAAGTGGCGGGTAGGTTCAATTAGGGATGGACTCGGGTCCGGGTCGGGTCTGGGTCGGGCCTAGGCCTGGGCGGGCCGGCGGTTCAAGAATAGTGGACCCGGGACCGACCCGGGTAGCCACCGGGTCCGGGCCAGGCCTCCGGTTTGGATTTTTTTTTTTTTTTTTTTTTTGCTTTCCTAACCCCCCCCCCCCCCCTCACCCCACCCTCCCAAACCCCCCCAAATCCATCCTACCCATCAAGCCCAACCCGGGTGGAACCCCAAAAATGAAAAAAAAAATAAAAAAAATTCAATTCGGCCCGGGCCCGGGGCCGACCCGGCCTGGCCGGTTCACCAAAATTGAGACCCGAGCCCGGATCCGCCCTACCCCCCGGGCCTAGGCCCAACCCGGACCCGGACCCGAGAACCGGGCCGGTCCCGGTCCCGCGCAGTAGCGGGCCGGGCCGGTCCACGGGCCGGGTGGCCCGACCTGAGTCCAACCATAGGTTCAATGCTAATTTCTTGAGTTCTACGTTTGGCCTTCAACCAATAGTGAAAGTAAACATGTGTCTCAAGAGAGTTTGCGCTTAATCTCGTTCTATAATCCGTTAGGACGTTGCCGGCCGTACTAAACTCTTATTCCACAGCAACTGTTGATACCGACATTGCTAGCACTTGCTTAGCCATCTTTGATAAGATCGGGAACGTTCTCTTTTTTTCCTTCCACCACTGAAGAACGTCAAAGTCATCCCCTTCTTCATACTCAACAGGAAATGTTAGATACAAAGAAAGCTCGTTGATCGAGCTTTGTTCATTAACCGGAGTTGATTTATTTTTTTTCATAAGATTGCCAAATGCAGATTTAAAAATTGATTTTCCTTTAGATGAAGAAGATGTTCGTGGCGGGGGAGGGGGTGCGTTACCATATTGTGCATGAAACTCATTAAATAATTGATATAATAAATTACTAACCTCTTGGAATTGTTGTTTAGGGTCTATGGCCTTGTCGTCGTACATAGGCAATGGATCAAAAAAAAGAAGCATAATAGTAATCTAAACATTGCTCCAAAGAAGCAAGTCTAAAACGAGGATCGAGAATAAATGCAATACTATATATATGCGGAATATATGAATAATATTTTAAAAACTTTTGTTTCATGAAGACAAAAATAACTAACGTAAGCGGCATCAGAAAATTCGCTAAAAGCGCCGGTGAGATTAACAGCTTCAACAAAAAATTGGTTTGCGGTAAGTTTATAAACATGACTAAAAGTTTGAGTTGCATTATTAAAATACACCAAAACATTCACAATTTTTTCACAAGTGTCGATGTCGGCCGGGTTTATAATATAGTTAGCATATTCTTTTAAAAAAATAGGAAAATGGTTTTTAAATCTAATAAGCACCTTAATTAAGTTATAAGTACTATTCCAACGAATAAACAAATCTTTAGGAAAAGCACAATATTTGACACGTCTTTCTTTCAAAAAATTTCTCCATTGTATCTTAAGTTGATTACTAGCCCAAATAAGTTTAACCACCCTTCACCACCTCCAAAGCATCTCCCAACGCCGCTAGCCCGTCCTTTACACATAAATTTAAAATATGACATGCACAACGCTGATGAAAAAACCTACCCATCAAAGATGATGAACCACACAATTCACGCAATCTAGGAATAGCAGCAGTATTATTAGTAGCATTATCAAAACCAATAGCAAACACCTTATTAATCAAATTATACTCAATTAAAATACGCTCAATGAGAATATAAATATTATCACCGGTGTGTCGATCATTAAATTCACGAAAAGCAAGAACACGTTTATGCATACACCAATCATCATCAATATAATGTGAAGTCACACCCAAATAATATAAATGATGATGAGTATCCTCCCATATATCACTACATATACTAACACGTCCATCAAAGTTAGCGAAAACGTTTGTAAATTTTGCTTTTCCAAAACATATTGCCTTATAACTTCTTTTTTATTTGTTTTGCGACTATAGTTTCGAAATTAAGGATTTAAAATACCTTGAGCATATTCTTTTAAAGCAAGACTTTTGAAAAAAATAAATGACAAATTTTCTTCAACAATTAAATGAGACATACCGGTCAAATGTTTTTTATCATCATAGGAAAAATTACCGAAGGGTTGTCCAGTTGCAAACCTTGAAATTTGTGTTTGCTTTCCCTTACCTTTGTCCGATTTCGCATATTCCGCCGGGTGCTTGGCCTTAAGATGCCTTGTGGTGCTCCCGTACCCTCCAGAAATTCCCAAGTTATACTTTTTTTGCAATGCTTGCAAGTGGCGTACCATATCTCAGTTTCGAGGTCTTTAACTTTTGTAAAATTAGCCTTAAAGACAGATTCAGCTTTCTCACCGCCTTGGGAAGAAGTAGCCACTTCCGCTTGCTCTTCCTCGTCGTCTGGTGCCCGATCTGCCCTACTCGATCAGGCCGGTTCAAAGACCGGACCGCCCAACACATACCCGGGCCGGGACGGGCCCACATAGTGGCGGGCCGGGCCAGTTCCGGGCCGGGCCGTACGGTTCGGTCCATCCCTACGTGTGACTGTCAATGGTATCATCTAGTCACATCACATGACATAAATTTCAGCATGAATATTGTTATATATCTGTCGTCGCTCTGAAACAATGATATTACTTTGTCACATGACATGAATTGCATTATGAATATCGATATAGCTAGTCGTTGCTTGGAAGCAATCCTTCATCCCTCTGCTTGGGGATAATGTCATATGCAAGGGCATGTTTGAGGTCGATGTGGTGTGAAGAAGAGAAGATAAAGTGCTAGATTACGTTTTGGGACGTTGAATGTTGGCTCTCTTACTAGAAGATCATCTGAGGCAGTTAGAGGCTATGGATGGACCGGGCCCGGACTGGGCCGGGTCGGGTCTGCACAGTATTGGGCCGGGTCCTAGTTCGGGCCGACCCGTCCCAGTTCATGGTTAGTCGAGGGTATGAAGAGAAGGAATTTCAGCATAATGTGCGTGCAAGAAATTAAGTGGGTAGGAGAAAAAACATATGAGATTAATCCCAATGGTTTTAAGTTGTGGTATTTGGGGAAAGAGGAATATAAATGGAGTGGGCATATTGTGGCACGTGATTAGGGATGGACTCGGGCCGGGTAACCGGCCCGACCCGGTACTGTTATGGCCCGGCCCGGTACCCGGTTCATTGGCCGGTTTGGGCCAACTGGCCCGGCACTGTAGAGGGGCGGTTCGCGGGCCTCCATAATGGTGAACCGGCCCGGCCGGTTCGGTTATGGTCCGGGCCAATTTTTTTTTGGTTTTTCAAATTCTTAAATAGGTAAAATGGGTTGGGCAGGGTGTTTTGGAGGGGTTTGGGGTGGGGGGGGGGAAAGAAGAAATTAGAAAATAAAAAAAATTACTCGGTTCGAACCTGCCCGACCCGGTCTATACCCGACCCGCTACCCGGCCATGTAACCCGGCCCGAACCAGATCCGGTAGGTACCCGAGCCAGTTTCGGGCCTCACTTCTCCAAAAAAAGCCCGATCGGAAGCAGCCTGAGGCCCGGCCCGGCCTGAACCGAGTCCACGCCTACACGTGATCGTGTTGAGGGTGTGGTAGAAGTCTTCAGGAAGAACGATAACATCATGTATATTAAACTGGTAATAGGAGATGATACTATGTTTGTGGTAAGTGCCTACGTACCACAAGTGAGATCATGCATCTATCAATCAATAATTTCGGGAAGAGTGGTGCATGTAATCTTGAGAAAGTGGTGGGATGAGTGCCAAGAGGAGAGAAACTGGTCATAGAAGGTGACCTCTACAGGCATGTAGGCCCAAGTCATGATGTTTTGAGAGTATTCATGGCGGGCATAGTTTTGACTCTATAAATTAAACAGGGAAGAACATTCTTGATTTTGCCTCAACATATGAGTTGGCTGTAATGAACACTTGGTTCAAGAAAAGAGACTCTCACCTTGTGACCTATACAAGTAGAGCTAATAGTACCCAAATTGACTACTTTTTAGTATGGATTACTCGGAGAATAAGTTACGTACATTGATTGTAAGGTTATCCGAGGTGAGAGTGATGTCATTCAGCATTAGATGCTTGTGTTTGATTTTCAAGGTAAGAAGAGAATGCGAGTTAAGGTACAAGTGGAACCAAAGATATAGTGGTGTAAGAAATAATTGTAATTAGATTTTGATGATGCTATAGGACTCTAGAGTACCCCTTAGAAAATTGTATTGGAATTTTCTTTGTATGAGTTTTAGTATAATCGACTGACAGAAGACCTCCAGACAGAATGCCTATAGACCCTCTGGTGATAGTTCTCTTACAGAAGTCCTCCTGCCTCTCTGTTAGATTTCACTAGAGCAGAAACTGTCAAGACTCTCTGTTAGTTCACTTCTTGACAGAAGACCTAAGGACCCTCTGGCAGCTAGTCCAACAGAAGTGTTCGAGACTCTCTCTGGTTGATCCACTACTGAAAACACCAGAAGGCCTGACACTTAGAGAATTTTCATGAAATTACCCAAGCCGGTGAAACCATCTGAAGATTCCTTCAACGGCTAGAAGACTTCAATGGAAAAGCTACAGTACGTGCATTAAATGCACA